CGAAACAAGACAAAAACATCGGAGCACCGTTTGAAGCGGCCCGGGCTCGAGTCGAACGAGCTTTCCTGCGAGATTTCAGCAACAGTCGGCACCGTATGCAGGTGGCCACCATCCGCCGCCGGGCCTCCATACGAACAAGGGGCAATTTCTGCACACTGCAGACGCGAGGTATCTCGACACCGCGAACAATTATAAGATACTTACTCGTTTGATCTTATTCTATTCCAACCTTGAGTGCGAATCTAGACAAAAACGGCATTGCATCAAGAATGAGGACCTGGCTCGGGTCGAACGAGCCCCCCGCGATACCTTCAGGTTCTATATACACCGGATGCGGGTGGCGCCGATACGCCGCCGGGCCTCGTTTCCCAACATGGTTTCCGTGATAAAAGTAGAGTCGTGCTGGGGCGGGGGGAATAACGGCCGCGAGATCTGCTGCTCCGGGAGCCAGTCAGAGCCCAGCCGGGGGTTGAAAATGCATATAATATACCAAGGTCCTGAGACCCGACCGCGGCTCTTTTCTCGGGGCTAGCACGCCTGAAGTGAGGCAGCTCGGGCCCGTACGAATCGAACTCGCATGGAGATTCGGATCGCGGGAGCGAGCGAGCGAGGTAAGCACCGCAATGGCTTTGGTCCAGGTACTTGGATGCAGGATATAGTTGCGAAGGTCCCAGCCATCACGCATGTTGCTGACACTCCGTGTCCACTGGATCGCGCGACGGGGACGCGGTGTGCGGTGCACGGAGGGATGGGGCCGGGCGCGTGCATGGGCGCTAAGAACTGAGCGAGGGACGGGCGGCGTGGATGGAAACCCGAGAAGACAAGGGACGAGAACGATTTGAGACAGCCCTAGCAACTGTGTTATTCAGCCGCTGGGCGTTCGTGGCGGCGAGAATTCGAGCCGATGTCAGTCCCCGGGGTCGTGCTTGAGCGAAGATCAAAGATGAAGCCCAGGTCACGAAGCCCAGGTCGCCGTCGAAGGGAAGACTAGAACAACACTCGGAGGGACGACAGAGGCAGGGGTGGGGTGAAAAAGACAGAGAATCAGATGTACAGATCTAAAATGATTCGAAGCGAGACAGAGAGGGCCAGGTGTAAGAACTGGCACGGATACTTGCGGCGCAATTGGGTTGCCACGCGTTGCGCAGCAGCGGCGAAAGAGGGAAGTAATGCGCGCGGTTGCACGGAAGAGATGCATAGAGCGGGAGCGAGGACGCGTACGTGAGCCGATCGCGCACAGCCAGAATCGGGGAGGGGATTGGTGTCCAGGATTTGAAAGCGTGAGAAGAGGAGCAGAGCGCAGCCGCAGATTATTCGAGAGTAGCGCGCGGGGTGGCGTACAGAATGATGGTGACGAGAGGGCACGAGGATGAACGCGGGGGACGTCGGTGAAGTGAAGGAGCGTGCGCATTCGTTAGACGGAGGGCCCAACCGTCGTAAACCGTTCGAGGAAGGGCTTGGGTACAGCGGAGTTGGAGCGTGAGAGTAATGGAGCGCCGAGTCTAGCGGGGAGGAGCAAGCTTGCGAGGACCCGTCGGCGTCAGATGCGCCAGAAGAGCGCGCCCGAAGGAGAGTGCCGTCGCAGATGGGTGAAATCTCCCGTCTAAGAGGCAGCGCCAGATGTAAAATGGCGCGACATAGAGCCACTAGCCTCTGAGTTGGCCAGGCGCGTCGATAGAAGATGAGTCGACGCGAGGGCATGGGAAGCAGCGTTCCCCGACCCCGTCGCACGCCGTGGAAGCGGAACGTCGCGTTCAGGGATTGACAGCATCGGAGCCACTCGGAGAATTCAAATGGGACGGCGGGACGGCGGGCGGAGACGTGCGGACTAGGTCGTGTTGCTTAGCAACGCGCGGGATAGCGCTGTGAGTTGTGTGGCTCCAGGGCGAGATCGCCGGACTCATAGACATTGGAGGAAGGAGGAAAGCAGAAGAGGCGGCACGCCGATGACGTGGCGTCGCCGCGTGAATCGGGGTGATCCGCGTGATCGGCGATCTCGGCAAGGCCGGCTTTGGTCAATCCTGCGGCTCGCAAGCTTTGGCCGACTCCTCAGTGGATAATCGATGATCTTGCAGCTGTGTCTTCGCTGCTCCTATCCGCTTCCCGCAGCCTCTCAAGATCTCAAGGATCCCCTGGTATTTTCAAGACTCCAACAAAGATTGAACTTCAACGTCAAGAAGTTGAACTTGAACACAGAACACCACCTCTGGCAGCGACAACGGCGACGCACTGCTCTGGGTCTATACCGGCTCGATGGCGGACGGTCCACGCTTGCCCACCGTTTGAGGGTTGCAAGCTATATCTCATGTGCGCAAGAGATTCGATGCCTGTTCAACTCGGGCTCGAGCCATTGGTTCCTCCTACCAGATAACTTCTTAGAAGACAATATCGACCCGTGCTGGCTCGTATACGCGTCAAAGCCAAGAGCGCTACATAGTTGCAAAGGATGCTGGCTTCAGGGAAGAGAAGCGGTCGCAAGACAGCTCTTCATTCTCCCTTTTTTTATCCTGCACTCAGTGCTCAAGCGCTCAAGCTCAAGCCCGGGTTCGACCTCCCTGCGTCTCATGATCATGCACCTCTGGGGTAGTTGACGACCTCTGGAGGTCTACGACTCTCATCACAAGCACGATCCAACCAGCTCGGTCGTGTCTTGACTCTTGAGATAATTACAGATGGTTTCAACGAGACCCCAATCGGTCCTTGAGAACAGAGCAATAACCGGCTCGATGACATGGCCGGGGCCTGAAGCTGTCCGCAATTACTTTGTTGATCTTTCCCGACTCTGTGCAGGTGGCGACCGGCGACCATCCGCCCCCTGGCCTTCATTCACATGTTATACGTGATTTCCGATGTGGATGGGGCGTGTCGCAGCGAGATATCTAGATAATGCGAAGAATTCCATTCAATTATAATCAATACAGAATCAGTACGCGCCAGATCGCGGCGCGTCGCTCATGATTCAGCTCAAATAATCGGTGCCGTTTGTCTGTTCAGACCGACAAAAACCTTTTACTTGTTCCCCCTCCATGACCCGGGCTCGGATCGAACGAGCTCCGACGCGGTAGTCGCCCTTGTCGTTACTGAATGCGGGTGGCGACCATCGCCGCCGGGCCTTCGTAGCTTCAAGCTTCATCGCATACCTGATTCACAGTCTACGGACGCAAAGACCCTTGTGGGCGATGAACCACTGTGAAGATAATTTCTTGATGATCGTGAAATCCTCACCAGGATATTGTAACCTATCCCTGCGCTTCCCCCACGGTTCAAGTCTAATACCCACTGACCGTTCACAACTGAAAGAAAAACCTGCCGTATGTTACCTCATGCCCCGGCCTCGAGTCGAACGAGCGTACCACGGAGTTGTACTGGAATTCGATCATGGGGTGTGGTGGGCGCCTACCGCCGCCGGGGCGTGTCTTCAGAGATACTTTATGGGGGGGGATGAGGGTGCTCTGACGTGCAGTTGTCCAGGGAAACTCGGGCGTTGAACTGAATCTCCGACAAGTCGGGTTCGAGATCAAGCTCCAGCGTCGAACTCAGATCGAATAAGGCTGTGGTTACTTGCATTCCAGAGAGTGTAACTGACCCCTAGCCCCGCAGCGATGCGTTCTTCGAAGAACGACAGGCCCCGGAGTACTAGGGGGTACGTAGAGTTGAGAGCGGGCCTTCGTGCGTCGAAAGACAAACAGAGCCCACGAACGAGTGACGCCAGGTACGCGGGGTGTCATTCAATACAACGAGGATGGCTTCGCAAGAGACGAAAACAACATAGTAAACTGAGGCCGAGGCTCGTCGGGGAGGAGCGAGCCTAGAGATAAAAGGCACAACCAGTGAACGAAAGCGGACAGGGGATAGTCGAGAGACGCCCCAGACCCAAAGAGCAATCCACACAGACACAGAAGATTTGGCCAGACGTCTGGCCAAGGATCCATGCGCAGAGACAGAGGAAGGAATCCGGGGAGCCAAACCGCAGAGCGGGATTGCGAGCGTCGTGAAAACGTCGGGGTTAGCTGGCGCTGCTTTTGTTCGGTCTTCGAATGCGTGATAACGGCGAAGGACCTCGGCGCGGGCGCGAAAAGCGGGCGGTAAGCGCGTTGGGAGTACTACGCGAGCACCGGGAGGCATAAGGAAAGAAACGGGGTAGATGGTCCAGGAGGTCGATATCTGAGCGTGCGTTCGAACGCTGAGAATCAGTAAGCCGGGAGCTAGCGGGATAGACGGCGCAGCTCATCTTTCAGCTATGCGCCACGGATATACCAGGCCAATATGCTCCCAGTAAAACCCACGCGAAGATCCCATCCGTACAAGGACGCCGCGGCGGATGCGAGCCCAATGGGCACAACTAGATCTGAGATCGCGCACAAGATAGCGAGTAGCCACTGGCCCCTATGGGCCACCGAGAGAGAATTTCCATCGAAACGAGAGTGCAACTCAAGGGCAGGGAAAGAAAGGTTCGTGTAACGCAGCGATTGGGGAGGGAGACAGCGGGCAGATTTGGCGGAAGCGAGACGGGGTCGCATCTGCGCGGAACCGAGCGGCTGGCTTGAAGGCGGGCATGCTCGAGTGCTCGTTGTTGGGATGAGAGCGCCGCGGGTCGGATGGATCGAGGTAAGGGTTGGGCGCGCTGGGCTCGTAGGCGTGTTGGAGGAAAGAGGAAAGAGGAAACAAGCGATGACGTGGCGGCATGTCCCGCTGATGTGATCCGATCTGCGCCGCTGATCCCGGCAATCGCCGGGGCATTTCTTTGTTCGATCTGAGAATCTCAGTTGAATGTCTTTCGGGAGTGCCACAGCGTTGAGGAGCAAGTTCCTTACTCGCGGCGGCGCCTCTCCTCTCGCCGCCATATCTTTCCCACCTGCGAGCTCGAGAATCAACAGAATAACCGCGCGGCGCCTGCCGTTCCACGCGGTTCGTTCGTGGTTCGCCGGACTCATTTGTTGTTGGTAGTACCAGCTCATCCACAGCACGTTAATCGAAGAAATAGAGGAACACTTGTCCTACGGCCCGGGCTCGATTCGAACGAGCTCCGCCGCGATAATCATCCCAATCAGTGACAACTATAAGCGGGTGGCGACCATCCGCCACCGGGCCTTCATCGTATCCCTGAGTTCCTATCTTCAGGCGCTTTTGGTGGGGTCAAAGACCGCCTCCGAGCCAACTCCGAGCTCTCTTCCCAAAAGAGAATCCTCGACCGAGGTGCGGACTTGACTGACTACGAAGTTGAAGAGAAACCAGACTGAAACGCGAAGGTGAAAAAGATTAGAGGCAGAGCTGGCTAGCTTGAAGCACGCGATCAGCTCGAAGCGCGTTCGCAGGATCCGGAAATAGACGCCGGATACTCAGTTTGCGGAGAGGAAGACGAACACAGAAAGAGCTTGGGGCAGCGTACACTGTGGATTTGGGTGCAGCGCGCGAGCGGGTAGAACTCCAAACTCGGTTCATGGGTACGGAGCGCCGGAAGGCGCAGTTAGGGCGGTGTACGGAGGGGAACCCCTTAGCACGACGGCACAGACAGTCCAGGGGCACCGATAAGAAAGCCAAAAAAGCTCTCGACGGAATTACCCGCTGGCGGCAACGCGAGGTTTGCGCGTCGATGATAATGCTGCATTCTGGGGCCGACGAGGGTGGAGAAGTGGAATGCGCGGGCAATGCATGGAGCGCCGGAGCGCGGAGGCGTACGGAATACGAGGTCGAAAGCGCAAAGCCGGACTTGTGGACGGAACCAGTGTCCAGGATTTGACGACGAGGAGTGGAGCCCTGACGCAGAGGATCGATGGGGCGCGCAGGGGGGGCATTGAATTAGAAACGGGCGCGAACGGAGGCTAAGGGCGACGAAAGAGCAGCGTATAGAGGGCAGGGGCGCCAGCAAGAAGGAAGACGGTGATAGACAGCAAGACGATACGTGCAGCGACCGAGGAAGGAAAGCGAGAGCTCAAAGCGCGTTGCAGTGCATGCGAGGCTGAGCAGATTGTGTGCGCAATTGCAGCGCAAAGGCTAGGGCGGGCAGTAGGAACCGTGCGAGGGCGGAGTGTGTATGGAAGAGCGCGCCCGTAGGAGAGCGCCTTGAGCGGTGGGTCAGAGAACCGATGAGCGTGGATTTGGAGGGTCGCTAGGCCAGATCGGCCGCGAAGATTGTGCGTCGCTCGTGCCGTAGATTGAGCGCAGCCAGTGGAAGCGTTTGCATCAAGTACGGCGGCATTGGATAGGGGAGCGGAGGCTCTCCGCGCGACATATACTCAGCAGAGCAAATGCAGATACAAGCGTGTGTCTAAGAGGCGAGGCCAGATCTGAGATCGCGCAAGATCCAACGGAATCGAGCCCCTGGACCCTAAGTTGCCACAGTATCTTTAAGAGCAAGGGTGTGCGAGGTGGGGTGCCAGAGCGCAGCATTCGTTGGCAGCAGCAGGGCGGCGTGAAGACAAGGAATCGGAGAGCTGATCAGAGGGTTTGCGTGCGGGACAAAACGGTTGCGTTGGCCGGGGCGAGACACTCGACTGACGTGCGGGGCAGCGTTAGTCGAGGCTGGAAGCGTCGCGCGTTGACTCGCACTTGCATACGCGTTGGAAGGAGGAAGAGGAAAGAGTGAAGGTCACAGCGATGACATGGGCCACGTGGCGCTGCGGTATGATCCGCGGGAAGTCGGCGATCTCGGCAAACGCCGGTGGTTTGCCTGGACGGTTGCTGGACGGCCACAAGCCTTTGCATTCGAACCTTGCTTTTTTTCTCTTTTTTTTTGCGACGCCTTGGTGGGAGTGGTACCCTGGTTCCCCACCTGCTCTATTGCAGGTTCAACTTGGAAACAAGAACACCTCGTCTGGCAGCTACAAGCCTACAACGCAACTACAACGCTGATGCGCCGCTTCTACCTTTCATCGGTTCGATGGCGGACGGTCCGCGCCTGCCCACTATGCCCTCCGTTCATGGTGTCTACATAGCGCAGGAGACGCTCGTTCGACCCGGGCTCGAACCATTGGTCTGAAGTTCCTTTTTGGAGCAGTATTGCCCCGTTCAAGACCCTTCGGTATCTCGCGCGGGGATATCAATCGGGCTCGAGAAAGAGCCTCGGACAATGCCGAGCCCGTCCCAAATAATAAAACAGAACAATGTTAATGCGTGTAGTGTGTCATAGACTCTATCCGGGACTCAGCACGCTGCTGCCCCTGCAGTTCATGGGCGACCGCCGACTGCCGATCGCTATCCCAAAAGCCCTTCCTTGTTGTTAAAATGCAGCGCTGGGGAACGACCCAAAACCGATATGCCCTCCGAATTCACCCGAGTCTCGAACCACTGGTAAAGAACACCACTCCATTCATGACAAAGTTCAGGTGACAGTCGATCCCCCTTGAATCTTCACCGCAAAAAGACAAACCGATATGAGCCAGTATTGCCCAGGCTCGAATCGAACGAGCGCCCCGCGATAAGTTGATTCAACTTTCTACATCGTGTACGGGTGGCGACCATCCGCCCCCGGGCCTTCATCGAGTACGGGATTCCCGATATGGATGGGACCCATTTCCGCGCGGATGCGTGTCACAGCGAGATATTGAGAGATAGTTAACGCAGAGAATCTCATTCAATACGCACTAGTGTCGCTCATGATTCAGTTCGAATACTTGGTGCCGTATCTCCGTTTGAGTAGACAAAAACCTTGTGGTGCTACTTCCTCCATGACCCAGGCTCGAATCGAACGAGCTTTCCGCAGTTGTGATCGTCATCGTGCACCATATGCATATGCGGTGGCGACCATCGCCGCCGGGCCTTCATAGCTTCATAGCTTCAAGCTCCATCGCCTACCTGATTCACATTTCCCAGTCTACGAAAGCAAAGACCCTTTAGCAATGACATTAATGGTGAGAAGATTTTCGAAATCCTCACCTGGTTATTGATGCGCGGATACCAGTGGCAGTATCCCCGCCAGTGGCTCACGATCCAGGTCGAATACCCACTGACCGGTCAAAACAGACAAAAGTCTCAGGGATTGACTTGTTATGGCCCGGGCTCGAGTCGAACGAGCTTCCCTGCAATCATCAGATCACTATCATGCAGTGCAACATGCATGCAGGAGGAACCACCTGCCACCGGGCCGTCCCCGCAGACCTTTCTTCCGATTTATAGACGGGACGATTCGTGCAAATGCTATTCGCAGAAATCTAGATCAAGGTTCAACCGGTCCTCAAGACTCAGTACATACCACAAATTGAAACTGCGCCGCCGGTGAACAATGGCTGGCAGTCATGATCATGTGTCCTCGAAACACGACAAAAACATCGAAGCAATCCTCCAATCCAAGCGGCCCGGGCTCGAGTCGAACGAGCTCCCCGCAATACCTTCAGGTTCTGTATACACCGGATGCGGGTGGCGCCGGTTCGCCGCCGGGCCTCGTTTCCGAGCTTGGTTTCCGTGATAAAAGTAGAGTCTTGCTGGGGTGCTAGGGATAGAGGTTGTGGGATCTGCTGCTCCGGGAGCCAGTCAGAGCGCAGACGGGGGTTGAAAGAGGTTGAAAGTCGCATACCACGGTCTTGACGCCCGAGTGTGGCTCTTTTTTCGGGGCTAGCGCGCCTGGAGACATTATCGCGTCAGGCAGCTCGGGTCCCGATGAATCATACGAATCGACATTGAATGAGGATCTGGAACGCGGGAGCGAGCGAGGTAAACACCGCAAAGAGATTGAGACTTGACTGCGAGAACCTTGTTGCAAAACGCATTGGGATGCATGAAGGGACCTGTTTTTGGCAGTCTGGACTCGCTGGATCGGGCGACGGGGACGCAGCGTGCGGCGCACCCAGGGATGGGTGCGCGCGCGGGAAACTGAACAATGGAAGGGCGGCGCGGATAGAAATAAAAGAAGCAAACGAGGTACGCATCGGAGACAAGAACAGCCGGCGGGCTCGAGCGAAAATCGAAGATGAAGCCGAGGTCGAAGGGAAGACGAGAACAGGAGTGGGAGGGACGTCAGACGAAGAGTCCGGGTGAGCGTGGGATTGAGCGAGGCGCGCAGAATCTAGCGCTAGAATACGGATCTAGCATTGGTAGGGAGCGAGACGAAGAAGACCTCGTGTAGCAACGGACGCGGACGCGGAGTCTGACGGCGTGATCCGCTTGTCGTGCGTTGTGCACCAGCGAGAGAGGAGGCACGGAACGCGCGCGGGTGCGCGTTGGAAAGATGCACAGATCGCAGAGACGCGAAAGCACTACCCGGCCAACAGAGTATTATCCGGGGAGGTAATTAGTGCTCAGAATTCGAAGGCATAAAAAGAGAGAAGAGGAACAGAGCGCGTGGGCCGAAAGTCGATAGCGGCGCGCGGGGGTGACTTCCAGAATTGCTAGCAAGGAGAGTGCACAAAGTATGACCGTGGAACGGCAGGGAATTAGAGGAGCGGGCGTAAGCCGTAGACGGACGACAGCGTGCATCAACCGTGGTGCAGCGTTCGAGGCAGAGATTGCCAATGCGCAGAGCGGAGCAGCAGTGTAGTCGGAGAGCTGAGTCTAGGGTGGGGAAGAGCAAGCGTGCGAGGGCTCGTCGGCGCGAGATGCGCCCGAGGAGCGCGCCCGACGCCGCCTGTACCAGAGCGTTGTGGGGAGATCGTACATCAGAGCGGCCTGAGATTACGCGACAGATATCGCGGGGAATCTAGGCCCTAGCCCCCGAGCTGAGCGGAGCGACAGAAGCGGGGGTATGGAACGTAGCGGTCAGGGAATTGCTGACAGGAGAGCCACTCGAAGAAAAGGTATCGGAGGGACGGCGGGACGGCGGGCGGAGACGAACGAGAGATATAGGCTGCGTTGCGTGGCAACGGGCGGAGAAGCGTGAGTTGCGTGTCTCCAGGGCAGGGACCGCCGTGCGCACTCAAAGACATCTTGGAGGAAGGAGGAAGAGAAGGAACGGCATGATGCATGATGACGTGGCGCCGCCGGAATCAGGATGATCCGCGTGATCGGCAATCTCGGCAAACTCCGGCTTCGGTCAATCTTCTGCGTCCCGCTAGCTTTGGCCGGCTCCTCAGTGGATAATCGATAGTCTTGCAGCTGTGTCTTCGCTTCTCCTAGCCGCTGCCCGCAGGCTCCTAAGTTCTCAAGGATCTCCTGGTATC